AAGAAAGGGAAGAAAAGAAAAGACTAGAGCAAGGAAAGGATGGCCTCACCACGGGGGACAATGGAAAGGGTAAGGCTGTGGCAATACATGGGGGGACAGACCATAATGCCGCGGCATTACAGGGTAGGGCAGATCACAATGCCGCGGCTTCAAAGGGGGAGACATCAAAGGCAAACAGCACCAATGCCGCGGCTTTGAAGATGACTTATGTTCAAAAAGAAGAGCATCCATTCCTAAAGGCAGCCCGGTTAAAGAAGAAGAAAAGAAAGCCCAAAAAGAAACAACAACCTAAGGAGGATGGAGAATTGTCCTCGGGTTATGAAACTTTGAAGGAACAAGAAGGAGAAGAGGAAGAACCACCAAGAAAAATCCAAAGCTTTCAAGATTTCTTTGATGATGAAGTCATCATAGAAATGGAAGCGAATGAATTTGGGGAGCCTAGCATCAAAGTAGCACACTTGGATGATATCACCGAGCCTACAACCAGATTAAACCACCTTCTCCAAGAGGTAGATGGTACAAAACCAGGTGTATACTTCACCAAAAAGTGCTTGGAACAACTACCGGGGGTAAGAAGGAAAAAGAAGGGTTATGTCTACACATCACTTTTCATGCGAAGTGTGTATAGACACTACCTCTATAGATACTTTGAGGATTGACACTTAATGGGGAATGGAAGCAAAGTAAAAGACTTAAGGAAGTTCAAGAGAAAATCAGTCCGTGTGGTTAGAGATATAAAGGAGGCATATTTGGATGATGTCATCACCAAGATTGATTTCAAAGAGGGGGAAAAGCCAAAGATTCATTTGATGCATTGTGATGATGTTGAAGTAAAGATGACAAGGTTGGACAACTATTTGGATGAAGAGGAGAGCCTAGCACGCCAAGGGATAACCTTCACCATTGAATGTCTAAAGGATCTTCCCGGAGCTTTCCCCACGGATCAAGGGTATGAGTTCTCCTCTACTTTTATTACTAATGTTTATGACTTATTCCTTGCTAGGTATAGGGGCTGTGAATAATATAGAGAATGGAAGAGAAGGCAATGGGAAGTGACAAGGAAGAACAAGAGGAAGGGGAGGAAAAACTAACTTGTTTTTATGATAGTTACATCATGGAATGTAAGGGGGCTGAATCAAGCCTCAAAACAAAACCATATTCTAAACTTTATAAGAGTAAATAAGGTACGTATTTTTTGTCTTCTTGAAACCAAAATGTCTTTAACTAGTTTTGATAAATTCATGAAGTTCAGGATGCCTAGTTGGATGTATGTGACAAATTTTGATAAAATTAGTGGTGGCCGAATAGCTATCTTATGGGATCCTTCTTATGTTGATAATGATATTTTGGAAATTGATATCAAACATGTGCATGCTAGATTTAGGTGTAAGGTTACTCAAGTTTACTTTTATGCCTCTTTTGTGTATGCCTTGTATACGGTAATTGAGAGAAGGATTCTTTGGGATCACTTGCATAGACTTAGTACAAACACTCTTGGGCCGTGGGTGGTCCTAGGTGATTTTAATTGAGTTAGTGCTCCACATGAAAGGAAAGGTTCTGCCCAACCTAAGGGCTACTTGATGAAGGACTTAAGTGGGATGAAAATCAATACTTATCTAGATGATGCCCCTTCTACGGGTGAATTTTTCACTTGGAATAGAGGTGCCATTTGGGCTAAGTTGGATAGGATTCTCATTAACCCTTCTTGGAGTGCCCAAGGGATAACTTGTAGGGCACATTTCTTTGAGATGGAGTGTGAGTTTGACCATGTGGCTGCCCTATTAAGTATTGGCAATACAATTACAAATGGGTCGAAAACTTTTAAGTTTTTTAATATGTGGATGAAACATGACAGTTTTCTTGGAATTTTAGAGGATGTTTGGAATAGGAATGTTGGAGGTACGGCTCAATTTATGTTGGCCCGCAAACTCAAGCTCCTTAAACAGCCCCTAAAACAATTGAACACAAATGAATTTAGTCATATCTCGGCAAGAGCAAAGGAATCAAAAAAGGAGTATCAAAGAGTCTATCAATTAGCTCTTCTTGATCCTTTAGATGATGCTCTTAAAGAGGATTTAAATGTTGCTAAGAAAAGAGTTTTGTTCTTAAAAGAGGCCGAGGAAGCCTACCTTAAACAAAAGGCCAAGGCTATCCACATTTTGCAATCAGATAGATGCACAAAATACTTCCATTCAATTGTTAAAAAGAGACAAGCCAAAAATTCAATTGCTTCCATTCGGCTGCATGATGGGTCTCTTACCCAATGCATGGACCAGGTTGCAAATGAGTTCATTAGTTTTTTTAAAGGCCTTTTTGGTACTCATGTACCTGCTTCTCAGTTTAATCCTAGTATCATGGCTTCGGGTTGCCTTATAGACCAAACCTCTGTTGAGAACCTAATTAGACCTGTGTCTGATTTGGAGATCAAAGAAGCTTTATTTGATATTGGGAATGAAAAGGCACCTGGACCAGATGGATACTCATCTGCTTTCTTCAAATTAAATTGGGGGAAAGTGGGTGGGGATGTGTGTGATGCAGTGAGGGAGTTCTTTGAGTCTGGAAATATGCTTAAACAGGTTAACCACACCATTGTAGCTCTTATTCCTAAGACCTCTCACTCTCCCTTGGTCTCGGATTTTAGACCTATCTCATGTACTAATGTGACTTATAAAATCATCACTAAGATTTTAGCATCTAGGCTTGGACCATGTCTTTTTAATGTAGTTGATCCATCACAAGGTGCTTTTGTTGATGGAAGACAGATGACTGATAACATCTTCCTAGCACAAGAATTGGTGAGGGGATACACTAGAAAGAGGGTTTCTCCTAGATGTATGATTAAGGTTGATATTAGGAAAGCATATGATACTATCTCTTGGAGCTTCCTTGAAAATGTTTTGAGAAGTATAGGGCTGCCTAATATCTTTGTGAATTGGATAATGGAATGTGTCACCACTTCCTCTTTTTCAATATCTATAAATGGCAGCCTACATGGATGGTTTGAAGGGAAAAGAGGTTTGAGACAAGGGGACCCCATGTCTCCTATGTTGTTTGTTTTATGCTTGGAATACTTGTCCCGGATGCTAGCAATTAGGACCTCAAATCCTAATTTTAACTACCATCCACTATGTTCCAAGCTGAAAATCTCACACTTGGCTTATGCAGACGATTTAATGCTATTTTCTAAAGGGGAACCCAAGTCTATCAAAATCTTAGTTGATGCTTTAGATGAGTTTGGGGGGGTCTCGGGTTTATTGGTCAATCAAGAAAAGTCTAACATTTTTGTGGGGGGGAATATTGCACAAAAACTGCCATGTATTTTGCAAATGGTTGATTTTCAACAAGGATCCTTCCCGGTAAGGTACCTTGGTATTCCATTAGCTCCCCTAAAGGTATCAGTTGCCCAATTCCTCCCCTAATTGATACGGTTATTGACTATTTTAATGCATGGAATACTAAATCCTTATCTTACGCTGGAAAGGTTGAGTTGATTAAATCAGTTGTCCAAGGAGTACAATCCTTTTGGTTAGGTATTTTTCCGGTTCCCAAAACTATCTTGGACAGAATAGTGAGTTTGTGTAGAATTTTTCTTTGGGGAGGGAAACATGCTAAAGTGGCATGGGAGGATGTATGTTTACCCAAAGAGGAAGGGGGCTTAGGAATCAGAGATACGAAGGTTTGGAATAACGCCTTACTATCTCGAACACTATGGAATATCCATGCCAAACAGGACACACTTTGGGTTAGATGGGTGAATGGTGTTTATCTTCATGGGAAAGATGTGTGGACCTTTGTTCCACACAATAGGGACTCACAATTTATGAAAAGACTTGTACTAATAAGAGATACCTTGATCTCTAAATTTTCCACCCTAACCGAGACCATAACCAATATTGGTAAGATGGTCCATAATGGAAGGCTTTCCTCTTCTAAGGTATATGACCTACTTAGGGTGAAAGGGAATGCTCAAGCATGGATGTCCTTCATTTGGAGGGTGTATATCCCTCCCAAATTCTCGTTCATAATGTGGCTAGCCTACCGCAATAGACTACCTACATATGACAATATGGTTTACCTTGATATAGTTAATGTTTGTCCATTTTGTAAGGGTGGCCCGGAAACGGTGCCACACCTATTTTTTGAATGTACATGTACAGGGCAGGTTTGGGAAAGGATTAAACTTTGGCTTGGAATCACAAGAAGAATGTCATCCTTGAAGAGTGCGGTGAAATGGATTCAAAAAGATTGCAAAGGAGCGCATATCGGGGCAAAGGCTACGAGGATAGCGTTTAGCTACACAATATATTGGATATGGAGGACAAGGAATGCAATTCGGTTTGATGGAGCAACACTAAAGATGGAAGACACTATTGCACATATTAAATATATGGTGTACAAAGTGCTCTACTCATTATATCCGTATCATATGATACCTTTTTGAAGCATGAACTAGTTTTTGAAGATACGATTACGAGCTAGCTTTTTTTGTCATGAGATGATGACTATTTTTGCTAGATGATAGATACTAGATGTTAAGCTTAGATAGCTTTTGAGGTTATAGGGTATCCTTACTTGGATATGCCTCCAATTTTGCCCATTTTGATGTACATATACTCTGATTACTATCTATATATTTACCTTTCCCCAAAAAAAAAATCGATTGGGTCAGTTTATTGTGCTGAAATTTTTGAAGTTCTGTTAAAGTGACTGTATTGATTGATTCTACTGATTTATGAAAAAATTATATTTAACATATTTTTTATTAATAAATTAAAGAAAAAGTTATACATGAAAAAAGTAACTAAAATAATCTTTACAATAATTTCAGTGTGTACAATCAGAAAATAACTCTTATCTCACCTTTTTATTTTTACAAAATTCAGTTACGAAAAATTAAATGTTACTTATTTTGATAAGAAAGTTGTTTGATAAGCTTAATGAGTCGAAAATCAGGGTGATAAAACAGACTCTAATTTCCATAGCTGCCCGTGAGGCGGCTTGCCGACAGTCGAAACTTCACCGGTCACCCGTACTTCAATAATAGAATCAATTCCATTTACAAATAATAACAGTAATAATAAATTAATCTATTGCTCATTTCCGGTACTCTAGTCTAAATCGATACAAACATTAACAAGTTCACAACTTGGTAAAAGCTATGGCTGCCGCCGGGAAGCTTATGCATGCTGTGCAGTATGATCATTACGGCGGAGGAGCCGCAGCTTTGAAGGTTTTTCCTTTTTATTTATTGATTTATTTATCCCCTTTATAGTAATTTCGGCTGTGTCCTTTCTCTGCCTTTTTTATAAATATGAAATGTTCAATAGAAAGAGGAAAACTGCCCTTTACCGCCCTAATTCCTTCTGTATTTCTTCCTTAGCTTTGGAAGCTTTATTTATTTACTGAGCTGCTAATTTTTTAGTACTGGGATTTGTGCTCCTGTTTTGTAAGAAATTATTCAAATACTCTGTAGGAGATGAACATGGAGAATGTTCTCAAACGTGATTAGAATTAAGTATGTTTTCTTCTCAAAACAGGAGTTATTTAGTGTTATTAAAAGAATAAAACAATAAAAACTTCCCAAAAGAAGTCTAGAAGAGTGAATGAGTCTAGAAGAAAACAAGCACACTCCTATTTGGGGAATTATGTCATGTTTTATTCAGTTTTGCGGATTTTTTTCTCGTGTTCTCATAACAATTTAACTTCTTTATTAAGTTTATCGTATTTATTCTCTTTTTAAGCTCTCATCAGATGCATTTTACTGTTGTGAGTTCTTCTAGTGTATGTTTGGTTCCAGAGAGGGGAAGGAATGGACAGAAGATAGCGTATTTCTGTGTTACCGTTTTAGTTTACTTGAAGCGACCTTGTTAAGACCTAAGTTTCATCTAAAGGTCTGGTTGTTTGGAGAAATAGTCAAATAATTTATGTGAATTTGTGTGAACCATACGAAATAGCTTAATTGCTCGTAAGAGGTTAAATGGCTTTGACACTATATTAAAAGTTCCCTACTCAACTTATACGGTAGACAGTAGTGTTATTTGTATTTGGCCGGTATGAGTTGGTTTAGAGCGAAGTAGTATGGAATGATTATTTTTTGGTTTATACCAGCAATACACTGTCACCCTAATCCCAACTATGTTGGGTTCAATTGCATAAATTCATAGTTTATAATATTATAAATTGAAGAAGAAGAAAATAGTTAGAGAATTTAAGACTAGATGCCCTTGTGATGGAAAATGACTGAACATAACTCATAGGCTACTTTTTAAAAACTAAAATGCCAAAAAAAGTGTAATGATGTTGGTGTTATGGTAAACAAAAAAACAAGGATATCTTACAAGAGCAATGAACTGATTTTAATTTTTGCAGCATGTTGAAATTCCTGTACCTACTCCTAAGAATGGTGAAATCTTGATGAAGTTGGAAGCTGTAAGTATAAATCCGGTTGATTGGAAAGTTCAATCAGGTGTATTGCGTCCGTTATTTCCTCGCAAATTTCCTCATATTCCCGGTAAGTTCTTTTTTACCTGATCTCTCTCTATATATCCTTTTTAGAGAAAAATTGATGGATGATTATGGGTACACTAGTAGATAAAAAGTTACATTAATAATAGCTTAAAGCCCGTTTTGTACTATGATGAGTTGATGAGTATGAATTTACCGTGTATTTTAATCATGTGTTTTTTTAATAAGATCAGTGGTTTGAATTGGTTTTTTTATATTCAGCTTATATGGTACACTTGTATGTACATATCCATTCAATCTCACTGTTCTTATCTGATCTGCTTTGCTGTGGATCAGTTAGTGATATAGCAGGAGAGGTAGTAGAAGTTGGTTCAGGTGTTCAAAGGTTCAAAGTTGGTGACAAAGTTGTGGCTACTGTCAGCATTAGTGTGAGTATATCACTATCATTTTTTTTTGTGAAAAAGTACATCACTATCACTTATTGCTTTGGTTTTATTATAGTTCCTCTGTTGTTATTTACGGGTGTAGATTAAGGATGTAGCACAGATTTAAAAAATTAAACAGACTGGTTAATGAATCAATACTTTTTCTCATTGTACTTTGTCCAAAATGCCCTCTTTAAAGTCATACCCATATAAGTTTCCTTTTTTGAAAAGGGTAAACCGAATAGTATAAAAAGAGTAAATTTGGGAAAATATACTGCAATACTGTATAAATGCCCTCCATAAAAGTCATACTCAATTACTCATATATGTTTCTTTTTTAGAAAAAGTGAAAAAATGAATAGTATAAGAAGGAAAATTAAGGAAAACAAAATAAATTGCATTTTGAAAATACAAACTTTTCTTTTGAAAAATATTATCCTTTCTGAGGATAATAAATATATCTTTTTGACAGTTTCACCCCTAGAAAATTCTTCCCTTTCTGAGGCTGTTAACGACTTGCTGTTTTTTTATTTACTTTAGAAAGTTTAATGATAAAAAATAGTTAGAGTAGTAAAGATTGATGCTGGAAAATTGAACTAAGCAAATGGTGGGTGAGGAAATATGGACATCACCCTATGTGGTCTCAAAAGTTCAATTCATTTTTTACCTTCTGAGAGTCTTCTACTCCTTATATAATGCCATTAAAGTAAACAATACTGGCATTTAATTACAAGATCTTTGGTATGCACATTAACTTGTTAACAGGATGGAGGTGGATTGGCAGAGTATGCCGTGGCCAAGGAGAGCTTGACCGCAATAAGGCTGCCCGAAGTTTCAGCCGAGGAAGCTGCTGCCCTTCCCATTGCCGCTCTTACAGCTCACGAAGCATTGACCAGAATTGACAGCTGCTTCCGGTGGTGTGGGCCACTACGCCGTCCAGCTGGCAAAACTGGGGAACGGGCACGTCACTGCCACTTGTGGGGCCCGGAACATTGATTTCGTGAAGAGTTTAGGGGCAGACGAGGTCCTTGACTACAAGACCCCAGAGGGAGCAGCCCTTGGTAGCCCTTCGGAAAAGAAGTACGACGCGATCATTCATTGCACTACAGGGATTCCATGGTGTACTTTTGAGCGGAATTTGAGTGAGAATGGAAAGGTTGTTGACTTCACTCCGAGCCCAAAGGCACTCTTGACCTTTGCCATCAAGAAGATCACTTTCTCAAAGAAGCAGTTGGTGCCAATGATGGTGTCTGCGAAAGCTGAGAACTTGGCATACCTTGTTGGGCTGGTGAAGGAGGCGAAGCTTAAGAGTGTGATAGACTCGAAGTACCCCTTGAGCAAGGCCGAGGATGCTTGGTCTAGGAGCATCGAGGGATATGCTACGGGGAAGATCATTGTGGAACCATAGTAATGTCGCCGGTTAAATTGATGATATATTGTTTGTTGCGTACTCGGGACTTGTGTTTATGCCCTCACGAATGAAGTGGGGCAATACTACTACTGCAGAATATTTTGTAGACTTATAGTTGTCGATGAAACTCGCAAATACAACATTTAAATAACATCGATTATGATTTTTGACTAACGCCACAAAAATAAGTACTGATGCATGCCTTGTATGTAATAGCCTACCCCCATCCATCCTCCCCTTATTTCACTTGTATGTAATAGTCGTTTTTCACTTTCTTTTTTGGGTAGATCCTGTGAACAGAACAGGACTATGCCCAGGATATACCTGATACTATGACCAGCTCGGTCAATTACAACCCCCATCCATCCTCCCCTTATTTCATTTCAAAAATCCAATTCAGAACCGGAACCACCTACATAACCAGGTGATAACAAAATATAACTGCTTCATTCATTTTGGGAATCAAAACCAACTGGATCCCGAAATGTCCACTGGAGAGGTTAATTGGAGTTTCCCATCATCAAATGTGCCCTTTTGTAAAAAATCTCCTATCAAATGCGCAAAAAAAGAGGTGGATGAAACTGGTTTCAGACCCTTGCTGTCAACTTCTAATAGCTAAAAAATTAGATGTTGGCCCTTCCACTTTGTGTGTACATTTTCGTTATTGCATTGGAGTTGCATATGAACAAACCCCTCCATTTTATAAGAAAACGCACCCTCTATAAGTACCGGAAATATCTATTGGGTGAGAGAAAGAAAGAAAACTTGATTCCCAAACTATTCTTTAAACTTATTTCCTAAATTAGAGTACTTTTAAACTTAACTCCCAAGCTTATTTTTTTCCATGTCATCCAACCTGCTCGTCACATAGTTGCTCGTCATTCCATGTCATCAAATTTAGGTGTATTTTATTTAATAAAAACTATGTCACGAAGTTGAAGTTGAACTCACAACCTGTTACATGCTCTCATTTAAATAAATTTAACATACATATGCTCTGTATAATTAGAGAATATGATAAAAAATTAATTTGAGATATTCAATTAAAAAATAAAAATCCAATTAAAAATTATGATAACAAAACGTAATTGAAGGATATAAGTAATTAAAAAAATTGTATTTTATACGTTCAAGTTCAAATAAGATGCTCAAAATTGAGCTGAACAAATAATGAGAAATTGAAAAAAGTTTAATGTATAAATAAGTAAACAAATAAATGAATATATAAATATATAAATGAATAAACAAATATATAAATGAATAAATGAATAAATAAATATATAAATAAATAAAGGTTTCTCTAGTTTCTTCCAAAAAAAGGTTTCTCTAGTTTGGGAAAAAAACTCATGATTAGGTAGTAATGTAATGTACCCTAGTTTGGATAAAAACTCATGATTAGGTAGTATTGTAATTATAACTGAAACCTATCCGTGTAACGTTTATCCGGCGTGTCATGAGATTATGTTTATCTGCTATCTTGTTATCGTGTAACGTTTCTTTTTGATAATTTGCTTTACAGTAGACTCACAAGCTGTAATAAATTTATCGATATCTTGTTGTTCACAATACTCATAGTTATGTTTATCGCAAAAAAATCTCTTATCGTAGCCGTTGAAAAGGGAAGCGTGACAATTGAATGAGAGTTATCACTGTGTATACATGTATGAATGATTTGTTTGTTTATTTATTTATTCATGTATTTATTTATATATGAATTTATACATTTATATATTCATGTATTCATTAATTTATTTGTATATTAATCTTTTTTCAATTTAGCATTATTTGTTTAGCTCGATTTCAAGCATCTTATTTGAACTCGAACATATAAAATACAAATTTTTAATTACATATAACAAATTACGCTTTTTATCATAACTTTTTGTTGGGTTTTTATTTTTTAATTGAATGTCTCAAATTAAAAATTTATCATATTCTTTAATTATTTGAGAAAGAAGTAAAATACTATAAAGAAACGAGTAATAAATGAATTAAAATAGTAGTACATCCCAGAACTTAAACTTTTACTATTTGTATGTTAAATTTATTTAAATGAGAGCATGTATCAAATGAGCATTGTAGGCTTGTAGCCCAACGGGTCTTGCCCCGTAATAAAGTGAGAGAGTGTGGGTTCAACTACTGCTAGTGAACACACTATTTTTTATACCAAGTAAAACACACTCAAATTTGATGACATGAAATGATTAGCAACTATGTGGCATCAAACTATAAAGTTTATTTATAACCAGAGAGTATAGGAAGGAAAAATGGAGATGAAATGGTACACATCTAAAATAGACCTTTTCTAAGGTTAATTGCAATGGAGAGGGTGAAAACCCCAAATGTGAGGTTTTCACCCCAAAAACTACTGCAACCTAGACACTTTAAAATGACAGACTCCATCTTGGAATCATTTCCTTGATCGCCCGACTCCATCTACCTTTGACACTTTTCTTTTTAAGTAAAAAATTTATGATTACGGTTCATTCTCTCTTTTGCACAAACTTCAACCACATAGTTTTTGCTTTATTATTTCCCCTACCGGTCAAACTTGACAAAGTTATTAGGTAGGAGTGGACTCGGGCCGAGCCAACCAGCCCAGCCCGCTACCGTGCGGGCCCGGACCAGCCCGCTACCGTGCGGGCCCAGACCGGCCCGCTACTGTGCGGGCCCAGACCGGCCCGGTGAACCGGTTGGTTGCCCGGTTCGAGCCACCCGGCCCAGCCCGGTGGGATGGCAGTTCAAGCTCAGGCCCTTCAAAAGGTGAACCGGCCCGGCCAGTTCAAGCCCGGGCCGGGCCAATTTATTATTTTATTTTTTTGAATTTTTTTTAAGTTTTTTTGTTGGGTATTTTGGGCCATTTGAGATTTTGAGGTGGTTAGGGTTGATTTGGGGGTGAGGGGGAGGGTTGGGGGTTAACTAGGAATACCAAAAAAAATTAGAACCGAGGCCCGGCCCGGACCCGGGGGTTACCCGGGCCGGTTCCGAGCCTCCCCTTCATGAACCGAGGCCCGGCTGGGCCCAGGCCCGAACCAGTCCCGAACCCCTGTTATTAGGGCCAGAGGGAGTATAAGATACTCCGTATAAAAGCAATCGCTCACCAAGTCACCAACACAAGTAATTATTTGTTCATTTCATAGCTACAAGATTAGTCCCATAATGTTCACTTGTACATTCAAATCGACAAGGATATGAAAAGGAGAACTGCCCCAATCCCAACCTAACCAAACACGATAAGACTTTGGGAGCTTGAGATTCATCCATAACAAAAGCCTATACTTCCGTACAAAGCTGCTGCTTCAACTTCCCTCTGATTTCTCCAAAGCTACTCATAATGGTGGAAATTTTACATTAGTCAAAAGCAGTGAAACAAACATCCATAAAACTGATTCTAATTCTATGATTTGGAAGAATAGGACGTGAGAACAATGTGATTACAACGTTAAGAGGATGAAATAGTCTACATATTTGTTCCTAATTCCAAATCAGTGTCTTAATTATAGATTTATAGCAGTTTAGAACTAGTTAGAGTGCAAGGCTCAGTCATAGAGGTGAGTAGTGGACTATTGGTGAGTAGTGGACTATTAAGTGTTACAACTTGACTAGTAGGATTTGTTCTTGAAACGATGTGCTTGTGAGTAATGTGTCTATGTTTGGCTTCAATTCTATTTCATTCGGTCAGTTTATAAAGAGTACAGACTACAGAGTGCTATCAATGTATTCAGTATAAATATTTTACTATTGATGACACTAAATATTGGATGATAATTAGATTAAGTGTACAAAGTGATCACTCTCAGAAGTTCATTTAGCCAGTTAGCCACAACCCGAGCTTCTTCTCATCCATGTTTTTCTGATTCTTTACTTAATTAAACATTGAATTTGTACCAAAATTCAATCCCATTACAAGATGATTCATGGAGATGTATGGGGCCAGATTAAACCAAATGCTAGTGCCTGGGCCCTAGGCTTGTATCCCATTAAGAGTATGTTTCTTATATTCCATTCCAAAAAGTGTAAGTTTTAGAAAATGATTTGCCTCACTCTAAATTAATTGTTTTTCTTTTTTGAAGCTTAATAACTTTTTCACTTGTTTTTCATTGTTTACAAAAAATATATTAAAAATCTTAACTTTTTATAACCTTTCAGATAACACCAATATTGTACATATAAAATTTAAAAAAAAAACTTATAGAATCATATCTGAAATTTCTTATGTAGATTCGAGTGATAAAATTGAGATTGAAGTTATAAAATCAAGATATCACGATTAATGTTTTTACATGTTTCAATTTTTTTTTCAAAAATAGGCTTGGAGTAATAATAAAAAAACTAAACTCCAAATTTATTTAATTTACATTGGGAATGTTTGAGTTTTATAATCATACTATTTCGTAAAAAATATGTGACTAAAATTGATAATAATAATAATCTTAAGGATTTAATTTACAAATATTGTCTTGAGTGAATAAGTGTAAAAAACCATGTAATCTGAGTTTTAGTACTTGATCTATTTAAGAAAAAAATCGGGTCCAAAAACTCCAATAATTCGAAGTTTTAAAAAAACTTTATATATGTGATATTGGTGTCATATGAAAGATAATTAAAAATTATGAATTTTGATATATTTTTTATAAAAAATGAAAAACAAATGCAAAAGTTATAAAGATTTTAAACATTAAGGAATTTATTTTATTGAGGGTCCCACAACTTGTTGGGATGTACAGATTTTCTACACTTTTTGGAATGAGTTTTCAAAATCTTACGCTCTTCGGTCATTCTCTCCTACTACGGAGTATAACATTAATATACTTTCAATCTCAGAAAGACTTTTTCCCATAGTTCTGGTAATTGGGAATATAAGGGTGTCTGCATGTGTGCACATGGTGTGAGCAAAGTTAAGGGTGACACATTACTGTTGTAGTTAAGAAGTTTCTCAATAAGATCAACATGTGTCATCAGCATTCTTCGACAGCAATACCGGACCAACTGCAATGCATCAAGAGCATCCCTGTAGATGAAAAATGCATATATTACTATTTATAAGTTTTATCACTTCAAATCCCGCTCAAGACTAATTTATAACGACATAACTGGATTGTAATTTTTCTCATAGAGGGTGCACAGAGTGATGAAGGCTAATACGCTATAACTAAGATTACAAATGCCAGACACTAATTTTAACAAACTCAACAACCCTACAGTTTA